CCCCCCCCCCCGCCGAGAAAATTTAACTAATTTTATAATGTGATTATGATTGTAACAGATAATTATGCAGTCAGGAATTAAAAATTTCATGCAAACAATATTCGAAGTGTCTATACAGCCAGCAATTTAGTAAACTGTCTCTGCCACTTGTCAATCCATACCCATCGAATTTTCAAAACTTTATTATAAATATCATACGAAGCAAAAGTTCTGTCACTTGTTGTTTACACCGGGCTCAGACCGGGCGAACCCGGCGGCCCCCAAGCCCAAGGGGACCCTGGCCAACCTCGTACTCAGGGCTTTTGCGCTTATTGCTCTCAGAAGCAATAAACGCAGAAGCCCTGGGTACGAGGTTGGCCCCTGGCCAGACAGAATGTAAACAAAAAACATTTGCACAGAAGTCTTCTGCATGATTCCTTGTTTCGAGAAATCAACTGAAGCGTATGTGAAGTGTTTCTGAGGTACTCTACCTGTTAAAAAAGGTACTCTACCTTTTTTAACATACAAGCTGGGGGGGGGGGGCAAATGCCCCCAGTCCCCTTGTGCCTCCCCCCGCGAAATCACATCGATGTTTTTTGAAAGTCGTTGCGAGCGGAATTTTTGTCGGCATATTTCACAGACACAGTATGATTGTTATGCTTTGGATATATAGATAGATAGATAGATTGTTTAATGAAAAATCGTTTTGCAGCTAGTAAGCTGAATTGTTAAGGTATTAGATGTCTGGTCTGGATAGCTCTATCGCTTCTAAACTGTTCTTTCTTGAGGTGAAGTGAGAGCTATATCTCATTGGTCTACTATTACAACAGAAGAGTACCTGGAGAAATCCTACAGTGTTTTGGTGAAGACAAAGTATCAAACTAAATATCACTGACTCTTCTTGCAAGCCAATATAATTGGACAATAGCATAATTCAGGAATCAAACTGGTGAAAATAGCAATGCACTTTTATACCTTTTCTGGCGCAATATCCATATCTGTAATCGGGGCTCCTTTATGGTCTTCAAACAAAATATTTCAAGATTAAATCGTGACATACCTACGTAGAGTGAGTCGTTGGGTCAACAGTCAACTTCGTAGATTATATAATTGGATACCATAAATTTGAACTGACGAGCAACTAATGGTTTTTATATATATATATATATATATATATATATATATATATATATATATATATATATATATATATATATATATATATATATATATATATATATATATATATATATATATATATATATATATATATATCAGGGGCGGATCCAGACCGATGCCAGCCATGCGAATGCATCGGTCAAAATTGAGAAATCATGATTCATGTTGCTTGAAATATATAGATATATATAAATTCGCCAATAGTCAATTGAAAGCACACAGTAATAAAATATCTCCTATCAACCTGCAAATCAGTTTGCTTAATATTGACTCCATTGTCAGGAATACACTATTTAGGATGAAATCCAATTTAAGAGAGGATGTCCACAAAAATCAAACATAAGGCGGCCACGACGGAAAAATCGATTTCGCTCAAATTTTGCCCAGATATACCTTATTATATCGGAAAATGCACCATATATTTTTTTAGGTCAAATGCTTTTTTAACTTTGAGAAAATGCCGTTTTAACACGACCACCCTAAATCGCCATTTTGTCTGGGAAAATATGCGCTGATTTTACCGACAAATTTCATGACGACAACCGTTTCTAATCGATCTAAAACCCTAAAAATCTTGTTTTCGGTTATTCAAAGGACCGGGTACGTGACTTACAAGAAATCTGAGTTACTTTTAGGAATAGAAATAATCGTAGTTTTGGAGCACACTATCTTACCTCATTTACGATACCCTCTTAACAAAACCGATTTTCACCATGGGATAAAGCTCCAAATCGATCATGCTTCTACTAGTTGGCTCTTTAATAAACAAGCTTTCAATTGACGTAAATACTTCTTTTGGCAAATGAATACGCGATAAACGACAGCGCGTTGAAATCGTCCGTTTTTGACGTCTTGCAAGTCAAACGCTGTTAATTTACATACCGTCGAAGTAAACAATTTAATCAAGTATTTTAAGTATTTTACCTTTTGATAAGAAGATATATTCTTGAATGGA